TTGATTGGGGTCATCCAAGATTGGGGCTTTGGAGAGCGGTTGGGTGTAGCGATCTGTGATAACGCCACGAACAACGATACCTGTTTACAATCCCTCTACAGCCGGTTGTTCCCCCATTGGGATCGCGATGCTATTCGGAGTCGAAGAATGCGCTGCTTCGGTCACATCCTCAACCTAGCAGCTAATGCCTTCCTCTTTGGCGATCGGGCAGATGAATTCGAACAACAGGCTGAAACCCTCGAGGCCCTAGAAGTAGACGAGCTAGATGCCACCCACTGGCGCACTAGGGGACCCATTGGAAAGCTCCACAACATCGTCAGATTCATCCGAGCGTCTCCCCAACGAAGCGAGGCTTTCAGGAAGACCGAACGGGATGACCGGTCGATCCAAGGGAGCTTCTTGCTGGCCGAAGCAACAACCAAAGAGCTGGAGCTGAAGCAGAATAATGCTACGAGGTGGAATTCGACCTTCCTGATGATTGAGAGGGCATGTCTATTACGGAATACTATCGAGAACTACCTAACGGACCTCGACCTCGACCGGACCGCAACTAACAAGGTCTCTGCTGAAGATCGTCTTTCCTTAGAGGACTGGCGGCTCCTTGCAGAGGTTCAGGAGATCCTGACGCCCTTCTACAGGCTCACGATGATACCCAAGGCCAGGGTCAGCTTCACGAGGTCCTCACGGGCATGGAATACGTCCTTGATAAGCTTGCGGTGGAAGCAGCTATATATTGATGAATCTCTCAATCCGGCAGTAGCAAAGAACCGGTTCGGCACCAACCCGCAGCCGGCCTTTGCAACGTAACAGAGCAGCCATCGAACCTGGGTTTACTTCCCGCTTTAACGAAGAAGCCCTCCCGGGCCACACGAGGCTGGTTTATACTAATCTTGCTGCTGCTCGGGCAGCAGGCAACTTCGATAGCCTTGGAGCCCAGCAACGGTCCTTCCTTCGAAGTGGGATCAACAACGCATGGCTAAAGCTCAACCACTACTATACATCGATTGGAGAGTCATCCTTATTTACATCAGCCGTCATTCTACATCCCGGGCTCGGGCTTGGGTGGCTCGAGAACGTCTGGACCGCTCCAGAGCAGGTTATCTGGATTAGCGATGCTAAAAGGGCTCTCAAGGCTGACCTCGAGGCCTACTACCCTGAAGCCAACGAGCAGGGGAGCCGCTCGCCCTCTGCAGAGCCGGAACCAGTTGGACAGGGCCCTCCGAAGAAACGGAAGGTCGAATTGGAAGAGGCAAGGCAGTGGATTGCCCAGAGGTGTCCCCAGCTCTCTCAGACGGCTTCGGAGCTTGAGGTCTACTTCAGGACGCCTCGAGAGAACACGGAAGATCCGATTCAGTGGTGGAGGGACCACCAGGCTACCTACCCTCGTCTTAGCTGCCTTGCGTTGGACCTACTAGCCATCCCAGCTATGGCCGATGATTGTGAGAGAGCATTCAGCATCGCGAAGCTGACCGTGACGTCTCAGAGGCACAGCCTGAGCAGCGAGGCTATTGAGTATTGTCAGCTGCTGAAGAACTGGTTGTATGAAGACGAAAGCCGCGGCCAGCAGCAGCTGCAGCAGCTGCAGGAAGAATAGCAGCCGTTGGGATGTGGTAAGCCCAGAACACCAAGAATCGGGGTCGCGATGCTATTTCGGTGGCTGGAATAGCCTCACGGCGGTCAGCAGGGGTCCTGATATCAGACACTACCAGACATATCAACTAAACAGTCAATCAATCAGATTTCGGGCCCGAATTCCCTTTCAGATCAGATGGGCACCCTATATTTGATCTGATTGATCTGACGGCAGCGCTGGAATGCGTTGCTACACCCACCTCTATGTGGCTGGAATGCGCGTTGTTCCAACAGATTGAATCAATCCAAGTCCGGGCGTGCAGGTTTGTGCTGTAGCGGGGGTGATCGAAGGCTATGCGATGTTTCGCTAGGCCTCTGACCGGGAGATGCTTGACAGGCCACTTGCACGCGCGCGGTGCTGCGGGCTCGCGAAAAGTTGAGGTTGTATAGGAAACTACTGCCTCAAATTGCGTGAGTAAGTTGTGGTGTGGTAGGATCACTCTTTCTTGCGTCGCTGCTACCATTTGAAGCGGTAATACCGAATGATTTTTCTAAGGCTAGGTTGGCGCGGCGGATTTCCCTGAGGTTGGAAATCCCTAGTCTAGACCTCGCTATATCACGTGCTAGACGTGGCGACCCAACAAAGAAATCGCCCCACAACGAAATCTCTGCCCCTGTCATCTAATTTCCCGCCCTTCAACTTCAACACAACACAACTTCATCAATTCAGGCTTGAATAGCTTCAAAATACATCATGTCGAACCGTCGAGAGCAGTTAATTCAATCTGCAATACTTGCAGTTGAACAGGGCGCATCGCAGAAGCAGGCCGCGCATGACTTCGGGATCCCTCCTTCTACCCTCTGCAAACGCATCCACGGGGCAGAAAATCGAGCACAAAGTAAACAAGCCGAAAGAAACCTCTCCAATGCGCAGGAAAGCTTCCTAGCCGACTGGTGCCTCAATGAGGAGGCTGCAGGCAGGGCTCCTAGCCGTCGTCAGGTGCAGAGATTCGCTCAAGCTATACTCAATGAGGCCGGCACGAAAAAGACCATTGGGGAGCGATATGTGGACCGCTTCCTACGCCGCAACCCGGCGGTAAAGATGAAGAATTCAACCTTGTTGGAATCCTCTCGAGTCTACGGATTTACTCGTGAAGCTTATGAAGCTTTCTTCAAGCGCCTGGCCTTCCAAATCAAGGATAAAAAGGTCATCCCGGCCAACATCGCTAACATGGATGAGCACGGCATGCAGGAGCTCGAGACCCGGGCCGGAAAGGTCATAGGAAGCTCCCTGACGAACCGAACCTACGTGAAAAGCTCTGATGCAACAACCTGGGTTTCAGTTATCGAATGCGGCACTGCTGAGGGCGTTCGTTTGAAGCCCGTGATCATATTTACCGGGGCCAGTCTTCAAGGACAACACTTTCCTGATAACTTCAACCTGACGAAGGAATTCCGGGAATGGAAGTACGATTACTCAATTACAGGCTGGAGCAACGCCAGTATTGCGCTGAAATGGCTCAAAGAGGTCTACCTGATCCAAACAAAGCCCCAAAGGCCGGGCGAATGGCGTATACTGATCCTTGACGAACATTCGAGCCATATGAACGAAAAATTCATGTTAGCGGCCTTCCAAAATAAGGTCCAGTTCGTCTATTTACCTTCTCATACATTGCACAAGTCTCAGCCTCTCGATCGCTCGGTCTTTTCACCTTTAAAGACCTATTTTAGGGAAAATACCAAGGCCCTCGCGAGCTTCACATCGTCAGCTCCTGTCAACAAGGTTCGGTTCCTTTACTGCTACAGAGATGCCTCGGGTAAAGGCATGAGTGCCCGTAACATCATGTCGGGCTTCAGTAAAACCGGGATTTGGCCCTTCAACCCGGCTTGTTTACTTGATGACCCTGAGGCGGTCAAGGACAATGAGGCACTCCCGGCCCGGCCTTCAACACCGCCGCCGACGGCCCCGAACGACGATGACAGGCTCTTCAAAACACCGCACGGCAGTCAGGACATCAAGAAGTACCAGGACAGTATTCGGAATGCCCTCAGTCCGGCTCAGCGGCGTGTGCGGGCCTTGTTTACTAAGGTCGGGAGGTCCCTGGATCTGAAGAATACAGAGATCGCGTCTTTGAAGGCACAAATTACGCATCTCACAACCGAATTAGAGGCTTCAAAGCCTCGCACGCGTAAGAGGGTATATGAAGATGGAAATGAGCGATTTGCACGTATAGAGGACATCGCCAAGGCACAAAAAGCTAGTCAAATACCCCCAAAGCGGAAAAAAACGGCTCGGGCAGAAAGCCAGCCACATGCAGTCGAAGAAGCCCGGGAAATAATCGCCCGTGGGCTCGAACAATATAGACAGGCCGAAGAAGAGGATTGAGTATTTTTTTGCTAGTTATTTTGTGTAGAAATGGATAATTTGCGCCCGTGGAGTGGGTGTGGGCATGGCGTGGGCCAATTTCGTTGTGGGGCGATTTCTTTGTTGGGTCGCCACGTCTAGATGTAGCGCTCCACGTAATGAAGCTATTTACACTTTTCGTGCATCACCCCGAAAAGTTCATTGCAGTGTACTCGTAAAGATTTCATTGCAGTGAACCCCCTGTCTGAAAATGTGTGTCGAGCTTCCTCCCATTTTCATTGCAGTGTACTTCACTGCAAAGGGGAATTACGGTTAGGGTGCTTTGTGAGTGTAGAGCGCCCAGGGGGTGTGGCCGAGTGGCTCATACCAACTGGCAGTAGTCTGGCCAGTTGGCGACAGGTGGTGGGCGTCCGTGTTGATTTATGCATGTCCTTTGGGGTGCTCTTTCTTTACAAAGAGAAACCTATATTTATACAGCTTGGATCGAAATCGGCGTCCAGTCTTACACTCTTTGAGGTGTTTGGGCACGGACCGCATATACTTCGGAGACATTCAGGTACATCGTGATGCCAGTACAGCCAACACTTCCCCGCTTTTGCAAGCTGACATTCCGCCAAGCAAGTACCTCAAAGTACCGCTGGGCGGTGATTACCTGACCTTCTCCACAGTACAACGACGCAGACAGGTACGTGGCTAATCCATCAGCTACTTGCAAACTTAGTATTTCCCATTGCCAAGTACAGTTTGCCTTCGTGTCTCCTTTTTCTCAATCGCCCTCAAAGGGCATTTTTCACATTGTCATTCATCTTGAGGAGGGAGGTGGCTAAGCCCACCAGCAAAACAGATACCAATCACGATGCTTTGACACGCGCAGTTGGCGCCAGCCGTCAGGCGCAAACGCCACCAAAATGCCTGACATGCGGGGTTGGGGATTCTGACAGGCAGTGACAGCGAAACGCGTCGAGCCCAACGTCGGCCACAACAATCACATCACGGGCCAAAGTACGATCGGGACCACTGTGATGTATACTGCGCGCCTTGGCTGCCAATGGTAGGTGGTATTTCTTGCCTTTAGGATGAATAAAGCTGAGCTACTGATGCGTTGTACCTATAGATCCACGACCTTGAAGCCTTCCGTTTGCGTATCCTTTGAGCACCGTACAAATACATGCTGCGAGCCGAAACCGATAACCTTGCAAGATGCGGCTCCTGGAAAGAGGCGATACCGGCGAGCTCCACTTAACGAACCCGATTCCGAATGACGCGATCCCCGAGATCCCCCGTTACGCGATCCTTTCACACACATGGGGCGACGAGGAGGTCTCCTTCGAAGACATGGCGGACGGTACAGCCAAGAAAAAAGCAGGCTATGCTAAGATGCAGTTCTGCGGAGATCAAGCTTGGCTCGATGGGCTCAAATACTTTTGGGTTGACACGTGCTGCATCAACAAGTCCGACAAAGTCGAGCTTGAGCACGCTCTCAACTCCATGTTTCGCTGGTACCGTGAAGCAGCCAAATGCTATGTCTATCTCGCGGACGTCCCAGCCAAAGAGCATAGTGCCAACAGTAACGGTAGCTTGGAACTGGCTTTTCAGAAATGCAGATGGTTCACCCGTGGATGGACACTGCAAGAGCTTATTGCTCCAACCATCATTGAGTTCTACTCTAAGGAGCGCGAGCGCCTGGGAGACAAGAAGTCATTAGAAGAAGAACTACACGCCATAACTGGGATCCCTCTGAAAGCTCTCCAGGGAAGCCCTCTGTCTGATTTCAGTGTCCCTGAACGAATGGCGTGGATGGACAAGCGAGACACAAAGTATGAGGAAGATAAGGTGTACGCTTTATTCGGCATCTTTGACGTACACATACCGGTTATCTACGGCGAAGGATTGCAGAAGGCACTGAAGCGGCTACGAGACAAGATCAATGAGGATTACCTCTGCTTGGCAAAGTTATGGCCCACAGACCCGCGGGACCCGCGTGACGAGAAGGAGCGCATTGAGTTAGAAAAAGGTGGCCTGCTGGTTGACGCTTACCGCTGGGTCTTCGACAATTCCGACTTTAACCGATGGCGCGACTCTCCAGAGTCCCGCCTGCTCTGGATCAAGGGCGACCCTGGCAAAGGCAAGACCATGTTGCTCTGTGGCATCATCAACGAGCTAGAGCAACCCATCACTACTAACGGTGGCAACTTGGCATATTTCTTCTGTCAAGCTACCGACTTGCGCATCAATAGCGCAGTTGCCGTGCTACGAGGGCTGATTTACCTCCTTGCTCGGCGGCAACCCCGGTTCCTCTTACATTTGCCAGAGAATACATACGCTTCTGACGACGCAATGGCATGGGTAGTTTTATCGAAGGTTTTCCGGCAGCTGTTACAAGACCCGAACTTGAAGCAAACTTACCTAGTCATTGACGCACTTGACGAGTGCGCCACTGGCTTGCCGGAACTTCTCAAACTAGTCACCCAGATATCATCTTCCCGCGTCAAATGGGTTGTCTCTAGTCGCAACTTACCTCATATTGAGGAGCAATTAGTTGGCGTCGCTCAAAATTACAAGCTCAGCCTCGAGCTGAACGCCGAGTCCCTTAATACTGCCGTCAGCGCATATATCCGCTACAAAGTCCGAGACCTATCGGATAAGAAACACTACGACAAGAAAACAAAAAGGCTTGTGCATGCACATCTTTCTTCTCATGCGAACGGTACATTCCTCTGGGTGGCGTTGGTCTGCCAAGAACTTGCCGACCCGAAGGTTAAGAAGTGGCATACCTTGACAAAATTACGCTCATTTCCCTCGAGTTTGGATGCTCTCTATGCGCGGATGATAGAACAAATTCGTTCCTCCCAAGATGCAGACCTCTGCAAACAGATTCTGGCCATCATCACGATTGTTCGCCGTCCCATCAGCCTTCAGGAACTCACTGCTTTTACCGAGATGCCGGTTGACAGTTCGGATGTTCTGGACTCTACTCTCATCGAGATGCCGGACGACGGTTCTGATGATCTGGAGTCTATCCTGAACGAAATACCAGACTACGTTGTAGATGATTTAGAGCCGTTAAAAACGATTATCAGGCTCTGCGGTTCATTCTTGACCCTTCGAGAAGGGATCATCTATTTTGTCCACCAATCTGCCCAGGATTTTCTACTCGGCAGGCCTAATAAGGAGGCATCTCGAAAGGCATTCAACTGGGTCTTCCCTCATGGGATAGAACATGTCAACCAAATCATCTTCTCACGATCGCTCAATGCGATGTCTGCGGTCTTGAAGCGCGATATATACGGCTTGAAGGAACCGGGGTTTCTAATCGACGGGGTTCAAACGCCATCTCCAGACCCACTGGCTACAGTACGGTACTCGTGCGTTTTCTGGGTTGACCATTTCTACAACTCAATTTCCGATAAGGATGTGCCGCAAAACGACATACTGGATGCAATCCAGACCTTCCTTGAGCAGAAGTACCTTTACTGGCTCGAAGCTCTTAGCTTACTCCAAGCTATGTCGGAGGGTGTCATTGCCATAAGACAGCTTAAGCTCCTACTCGTATGTATAACTTACTACCGTCAGAGAACTATACTAATAGAGATGCAGGAACATGCTGATCAGAGGCAGCTAACGGCTTTTGTTCGAGATGCACATCGGTTCGCTCTCTCCAACAGATGGATAATCGAGCAAGCTCCTCTCCAAGCGTACATATCAGCCCTCATATTTGCACCAGCTTCCAGTCTAGTGAAAAAGAAATTTAAGGCGGTAGAACCTAGCTGGGTCAGTACGAAGCCAATAGTAGAAGCGGACTGGAATGCATGCCTGCAAACGCTAGAAGGCCACAGAAATTCAGTTCAGTCAGTTGCCTTCTCACCAGATGGCCAGCAGCTCGCATCGGGTTCAGACGACAAAACCATCAAGATCTGGGATCCCGCCTCAGGGCAATGCCTGCAAACGCTAGAAGGTCACAGCGACTGGGTTTATTCAGTTGCCTTCTCACCAGATGGCCAGCAGCTCGCATCGGGTTCATACCGAACCATCAAGATCTGGGATCCCGCCTCAGGGCAATGCCTGCAAACGCTAGAAGGCCACAGGGACTGGGTTCAGTCAGTTGCCTTCTCACCAGATAGCCGGCAGCTCGCATCGGGTTCACACGACAAAACCATCAAGATCTGGGATCCCGCCTCAGGGCAATGCCTGCAAACGCTAGAAGGCCACAGAAATTCAGTTCAGTCAGTTGCCTTCTCACCAGATGGCCAGCAGCTCGCATCGGGTTCATACAAAACCATCAAGATCTGGGATCCCGCCTCAGGGCAATGCCTGCAAACGCTAGAAGGCCACAGAAATTCAGTTCAGTCAGTTGCCTTCTCACCAGATAGCCGGCAGCTTGCATCGGGTTCACACGACAATACCATCAAGATCTGGGATCCCGCCTCAGGGCAATGCCTGCAAACGCTAGAAGGCCACAGGGACTGGGTTAATTCAGTTGCCTTCTCACCAGATGGCCAGCAGCTCGCATCGGGTTCATACAAAACCATCAAGATCTGGGATCCCGCCTCAGGGCAATGCCTGCAAACGCTAGAAGGCCACAGAAATTCAGTTCAGTCAGTTGCCTTCTCACCAGATAGCCGGCAGCTCGCATCGGGTTCACACGACAATACCATCAAGATCTGGGATCCCGCCTCAGGGCAATGCCTGCAAACGCTAGAAGGCCACAGGGACTGGGTTAATTCAGTTGCCTTCTCACCAGATGGCCAGCAGCTCGCATCGGGTTCACACGACAAAACCATCAAGATCTGGGATCCCGCCTCAGGGCAATGCCTGCAAACGCTAGAAGGCCACAGGGACTGGGTTCGGTCAGTTGCCTTCTCACCAGATGGCCAGCAGCTCGCATCGGGTTCATACCGAACCATCAAGATCTGGGATCCCGCCTCAGGGCAATGCCTGCAAACGCTAGGAGGCCACAGCGACTGGGTTAATTCAGTTGCCTTCTCACCAGATGGCCAGCAGCTCGCATCGGGTTCACGCGACCGAACCATCAAGATCTGGGATCCCGCCTCAGGGCAATGCCTGCAAACGCTAGGAGGCCACAGCAACTGGGTTAATTCAGTTGCCTTCTCACCAGATGGCCAGCAGCTCGCATCGGGTTCAGGCGACCATACCATCAAGATCTGGGATCCAGCCTCAGGGCAATGCCTGCGAACGCTAGAATGCCACAGCGACTTATTTCGGTCATTCGCTCTCTCGGAAGATAATCTAGCGAGTAATAGATATAGTTGGGGGCACGACCAAACTTGGATTAATTGTAATGGCCGGAATGTAATATGGCTATCACCAGAATACCGCCCGGTTTGTTCTGCCGTCCACGGGCGGATGATGTCTATCGGCTGTTCATCTGGACAAGTCTTTACAATTGGCTTTTCACAAGATGTTTAGTACAGTACCTTTTAGCTATCTCTACTTCATCCTCTTTATTTCTTTTTCCTAGCTTGACACCAGAAGGGTCCGGGAGGATGGGTTGCTTTATAGAAACTATAGAAATTCTATCGTTTTCCATTGATATCAGATGACTCACGTAGTTTTCTTTAAGAAGGCAAGATCAACAGGTTCAATTCTCTTGACGTCACATATGATGTGACGGAGGCGAGTTTGTGTCAGATGGAATGGCCTAGAAGGTGCTGGAACCTACGATGCGTAATCTTCGCCACTGGAATTCGTCATGTAATTGCCACATAAGGAGGTATACGAGAGAGTCTTTTGTGGAAAGACTGGAACGGAAGAATAGAAGCAATTTACTCTGCCTTCTGGTGGCGGTGGCCATGGTGGCTTCTCTTCCTTCTTCTTCTCTCTTCTCTCTTCAAAACCTATTGTCAATCTCTTCTATCTCTCTATTGTCAATCTATTGTGACCACCTTGATCAGGCGTACCTGCCTTCTCTGGCTGTTATGCCACACCCAGTTCGAGTCGAACTGCTTGATGCGCGCCCGCTGATTGGTCGCCCCAAACCCGTGCACGGACGAATTTGAGTCGAACTGGTTCAAGATTTGCTGGTCAACCAGTTCGACTTTTTCACCGGAAAAACGACGGGCAAAATCCGCTGCACGCACGTAGAATGACTAAACCAAGCATGCCGATCTCGAATCCGCCGTCCATTTGCCCCGTAGATGTATGGTTGGTCGTGCATTGACGATTTAGGTCAGAAGGTGTGTTTTTGGGCGACGGTGACGCACGGGCCAAGCGGCCGACAAGAAGTCGATCCGAGTCGAACTTGGTGCCCCAAGCAGTTCGAGTCGAACTGCTTCATGGGCCGTCGCTGATTGGTCAAACTGGTGGAGGATTGAGCCCGTCAATCAGTTCGACTTTTTGAAAGGGAAAACGATAGGCAAAAGTGGCTGCGCGCACGTAGATTGACCAAATCGAGTGCGGCAATATCGAATCCGCCGTCCATTTGCCCCGTAGACGTATGGTTGGTTGTGCATTGACGATTCAAGGTCAGAAGGTGTGTTTTTGACGACGGTGACGCACGGGCTAAGCGGCCGACAAGGAGTCAATCCGAGTCGAACTCGGTACCCCAACCAGTTCGAGTCGAACTGCTTGATGGGCCGCCGCTGATTGGTCGAACTGGTGGAGGATTGAGCCCGTCAATCAGTTCGACTTTTTGATAGGGAAAACGATGGGCAAAAGTGGCTGCGTGCATGTAGATTGACTAAATCGAGTGCGGCAATATCGAATCCGCCGTCCATTTGCCCCGTAGACGTACGGTTGGTTGTGCATCGACGATTCAAAGGTCAGAAGGTGTGTTTTTGGTGATAGTGATGCACGGGCCAAGCGGCCGACAAGAAGCTGACCCGAGTCGGACTCGGTGCCCCAAGCAGTTCGAGTCGAACTGCTTGATGGGCCACCGCTGATTGGTCGAATTGGGTGAGGATTGAGCCCGTCAATCAGTTCGACTTTTTGATAGGGAAAACGATGAGCAAAAGTGGCTACGCGCACGTAGATTGACCAAATCGAGTGTGGCAATATCGAATCTGCTGTCCATTTGCCCCGTAGACGTACGGTTGGTTGTGCATCGACGATTCAAAGGTCAGAAGGTGTGTTTTTGGTGATGGTGATACACGGGCCAAGCGGCTGATAAGAAGTCGACCCCAGTCAAACTTGGTGCCCCAAGCAGTTCGAGTCGAACTGCTTGATGGGCCGCCGCTGATTGGTCGAACTGGTGGAGGATTGAGCCCGTCAATCAGTTCGACTTTTTGATAGGGAAAACGATGGGCA